AAAACAGTCCTCCACAAATTGTAGAACAGTTCGAGAAAGTCACGTACAATCGATGAAAACACTGATAACACAGATGTAATACACTAACAAAAGCAATAGTAAACACTCAGCACAAAAATAATAACTCAATAACAGCAATAACACACGCACTATGCAATCGTCTCTCTCTCAAGCTCAGAGAGGTATCACTTGCATGAAAGCTGAGATCTGACTAACTGACTAGCCAGCCCGGGCCTTTTTATACCTTTCGGTCAGAAACCTCTTGCACTTGCCAGAATAATCGAGAAATAGAAAGGTCTAGCAAAATCCGGAACGTACGAGAAAAGCTCAATACAGTAATACATTCAATACAATAGTGTTACAATACCGCGATAGGGTTGCCAGACAGGGTTATTAGGAGCAGGGTTGCCATGGTCGCCAAGCTTATCGCCCACATTTGGCGATATATCGCCAAATTTGGCGCCAAAAATTAAGTCGCCAAATCCGTCGCCAACTTGGCGCTAGCTGCAATATTTGGCGAGTTTATCATTTAAACCAATGTTAAAGCATGGGGGCCGTGCAATGCAGTGGAAATGATATTACAGGTAAACAGGGTTGAAATCACATTAGATACGACAAATTAAACTGTAAAAATGAACACAAATGAGTAGAAACAATTAGAATAAGACTAAATTCGTAACAATATATTGGAGAAAGCCATCATATAGAGTGTGACTGCGTACCAGCATCCCAATTTGAGTTATCCAACGTCATCCAAATAACCCCTCCGCTCACCTCCATTGTATAAACCCAGAACTTATTACAAATTGATTACAAATTGATTTTAATATGAAGTTCTTAAGAGTTTCGGCTAGGAGTTGCAAAAGTATTTCCAACAATTTCTGAAACTATAATACAGTATATTTTACATTTTTTCTGCAACTTATTTATGTGAGACAACATTTTCGTCTTTAACAACCATAAAATCGAAGCATCGATTAAATTTAAAGAATATTGAGGAAGTATTTCGCCTGGCACTATTAACTATTATTCCAAGATTTAATAACATAATTAAAAATAACCAAGTACATCCTTGACAATTAAATCTTACATATGCCATTAATAAAAAGGGATGATCTCGGAAGTGAAGACTTAGTAAACAGATTATAGCTCATGTATATTTACGGTATAATTCAATGCTTCTCAAACTTTCAATATTTGCGACCCAATATTCGATCATAATTTTCATCGCCTCCCCCCCTCCATACAATAAAAATGTATTAAATTCAACAATACTATACTTTGATTCTACCGCTACAATACGATGTGAACCTGCCACCAGCATATATAAACATCTCACTGAGTTAAAGCGTTATTTTCCCCGGACGTATATATGCGTCAGTCCGAAGTACGATCTTTTCTGTGCACTGCTATCCATAAAATTATTCTGAAGGTTTTGGAATGTAATAAAAGGTCCTTAACAGAGTTCGTCAAGGATGTACTTATTTCAGACAATTTGCTTATTTATTCCTTTCCTTCCCCCTACCCCCACACATACGTACGCTTACATGGAAAATGGTGGCATTGAGGAGTGGTTGGCATTATACAGGGATTAATTATAAACCACACAAATCATAAGGTGTTAATTTTTGTATATAATTTTATATATGAAAAGACCATGGGGTCACTGGTAATTGTTCTTAATTTAGGATTGCTAAATTAATTATGAAACACATTGCGCAGACATTTACAAGACAAGTGTATTATAACAGTGCAAATGTGTATTTTATTTTTTTATTATGTCAGAATGTATTTTTGCTTGTTTATTTTCAGTAAATTAATTTTTAAAAAAAATAATCTGTTTTCGACTTTTTAATATGCTCGCGCCCCCCTCGTAGAGTTATCACGCCCCCCAAAGGGGGCATGCCCCACAGTTTGTGAAACGCTGATGTAATTGCATTATAGGTTTTTTTTTAATCTGGTTTTTTAATTAAAATTCTATATCACTATTTTCAAAGTAAAAACTTATTGTGAGTATTTATTACAGCTATTTTATTGTGATGTGTATTACAGCTAACTTATTGTGATGTTTATTACAGCTAAACAAAAATATACAACACATAAAACACATACTGAAATAACGAAGCGCGTGTAAACTTTGTACAATGCTTATGATGTCGCAAAAAATTTTTGTATAGAAAAATGTAGTCACCATTCCAAAAAGTTTAAGAACCCCTGGTCTAAACCAAATTCAAAACACGTCTTCACACCTCAAGATGTCTCAATGTTCATATAATTTCATAACGTCCTTACGCATATATTCTAAAATTACATAAGTTGTCGCGGTACCTCCTCCTCATATTGGCTGCGGTGGAAACCTCGCTGATCACTGGGGTACTCGAGGGGGATCCGAACCCAGCATGGATGAAGAAACTATTAAATCGAACATGAAACGATTAAAAGTAGGTATTAGAATTTTTATTAACTTTTATTATAAAGTAAACATTACAACTGAGTACATGATATGTGAATTGTACAATTTGAGGGATAATAGATAGTGCGTACTTACCTGAAATGCACAGGGGAGTCTTAAGGTAGGGGCCAACTGGGCCCGGGCCCAATGGGGGCCTCGTCCTCAACTCAGCCTTAACAAGATCACGATTTCGAATAATTGCAACGGTCAAATGTTATTTCCGGTTGTATTCTTCTAAAAGGGAATTTCGGACGAAATGTCAACTAGTTACCTTCGTCTATGTTAATCCTTGCACCTATGCAGTGTTACAACCATACACCTTCATTACTCATTTAGTCAAAAGACGGTAGTCGGTTGAGCCGGTTTGTGCTATTGTAAGTCAAGCACATTTATTTGTTTCGGGTTATTCTTTATACGAGTTTTTGATCGCGTATGTCATGTACTATCTAATTTTAAGAGTCATAGGCAGGGTCTACATTTGTGTAGGGGCCTGGGGCCTCAAGAAGTCTTAAGAAGTCCCTGGAGATGCAACCTCCCACACTTGTCAAAGAAAAATCTTCCGATATCTGCTAGTAACTAAGCGACTATAATTCAGGAACTCACTTCTGTGGCTATAGTGTGTGCAAAAACTCCTATTCTCTATCTCACTGACTATTTATATGCTATTAGGTAGTGTCGTTCATATGCGAAGTTAGGGTGGATAGACCTTAATAGCTCAAACAGAGTACATAATTTTTCAATTTATTGCACGAAATGCAATACAATGAAGGAAAAATTTAAAACGTTCAAAGAAAACTCGCTTAACTCAAAAGGAACCTCGTTTAAACGGAAACAACTATCAGTTAAACAAAGTGGGGAAATAAATTATATATATATATATGTAATAATTCCCTCTAGTATCCTTTTTATTGACTCTTTGAACTAATATTTAAAATAACTTTAAACTCTTTGGTTTAAAATTAACATTGTATTCTTAATCGTAATCGACTAGTCTGAAATCCCTGTCCCGCCCATTCTATCCAATCAGAACTACTATTACGTAATAGTCACGCACCTGCACTGCTGGTATAAAAGCAAAAATCTTGTGTAATCACCCTCTTTTGTCTACCTGCTTTCATCATGTAATCAGCCGGCTGCAGCGCGTTCTGTGTTTGTCTTTGTCTGTGTTTGTGCCATGATGTTTGCTTCTTTTTATGTGTAATGCCGTCCCTGTTGGATCTTTATGTGTTTCCAGATGTGAATAAAAAGGTATAATGATTTACATGAATGCCTCTTCGATAATACAGTACTCGACAATGCTCCACGTAACACAGAAAATCACACCACCGACCATGCCCTACCTTTGGTTCACGATTGTTTAAATCAACCACTCGCCACGACAAATTATGTACTGCTAAAGATTTATCATTACATATATATATAGAGAGAGAGAGAGAAAGTAAGAGTATATATAATATAAACTCAGTGGCGTATCGAAGAATATTAAAGTCTCCCTGCAAAGTCCTGGAAGTTTTCGGCCCCAACCCGGACCTTACGCAGGATTTCAAAATCAAAACATTGGACCCCAAGAATCCTACCCCACCCCCCTCGATGCAGGGATTGCGGGGGTGTACGTAACGCCACTGTATAAACTAAATATATTTGCATTCTATGATCAATCTAAATTCAGATTTCCCAAATTTCAATTTAAATTTCTGAAAATTTTAATTAATTATTTTTTTTTGTTTATAGAATCTTCTGCTAAGCGACTTAACTCAAGTTATTATGGAGAGGAATTTATAGCGAAAATGAGAAATACAGTGATATGAAATAACGTAAATTAGGAGGGAAAAAAACTTCGCTGTGGCTTTCAATACTTTTTATCTTTTCTCAGTGGCGTAACGTACACCCCCGCAACCCTCGCGTTGAGGGGGCAGGGCTCTAGAGGGCCCACAGCCTGACTATCGCCAAGTACCTACCCCTTGTAAAATCCAACTTGGGGGCCCCAAAACCTGACTTTGCAGGGGGTCCCAGTATTCTCCGTTACTCCACTGTCTTTTCGTGAATATATGACTTTAAAAATAAGCTTTGCTACTGTAATTATAATCATGTTCACCTTAAGTAAACCTTAGTGCAAGTCAAATTTAGAATTAATCAGCATTTTAACTGTCATTTCATGGTACTCTGATAATGTTATTAACTATAAGCAACTTTGAAAGAAAAACAATCTGGCTCACGCAGTTAAAAGTTTGGCGATATTTTGAAATCTCAGCAAATTATTCTTAACACTATTAACATATGACATTTTTCAATACATATTATTAGCTCACTCTCTCCCTATATATATTTATTTACATAGATTTATATATGCTGTTCAAATTTTCAATCGTAGTAAAATACTTCTTATTCATCTACTCAAGTTTAATACATTCTTTTAAATTTTTAGAGGAGAACACTTGATGTTAATATTTTTTCAAATATTAATTAATTAATTTAATCAAAAAATGAGTAAAGAGCAAAAAATAATAATAGTCCAACAGCATAAAAAGAAAGGAAAATCGTTCGTTGTGTCCTTGTAGCACAACAAATAACGTGTTGGACTTCTAATACAAAGGTCGTGGGTTCAAATCCCACCTGGGATGACCTAATTTCTGAGAATGTGATTTCGTTTTTACTATACTATTTTATTCGAATAATTAAATTTAATCTATGGAAAAATAGCAACAAACAAGAAAAAAATAGTCCAACATCCTGTATAGAAAGGAAAATGGAAAATTGTGAGGAAAAAATCGCTTTCCATTTTTCCACTTAATATTGTGATTCTGTTATATGTATATACATATTTATATTAATTGGAACTGTTTAGTAAAAAGTAACTAAAATAAAACTTTTCTTTGTTGACCTAAGTAGTAAATGACTTAATTTTTTTATATATTATTTGTTAATGTGAAATATATTTATTGGTATTATTTACTAGTGAAAGTTTTTACTTTTTCCGTGTATTACCTTTATGTCCAAACCCTTTTAACCATCCATGCATGTTTTTTTTTTTTAATTTTTAATCATGCCAAAAAAAATTGAAATTTTCCTATTTAATAAAATATGATCAGCATGATTAAATCAATCAAGTCTATAAACAATTTATTTACCTGTTTTATTTTTAATCACATGCATGCAGTAAAAGCGTTTTTTGATCAAGATAAAAAATTTTAAAAAAGTTTTTATTAGAAAAAAATATTTTATTTAAATTGTCAAAAGCAGTATTAAGTTTATTGCTGAACTGGGAACTAGAGGTATGCCAAATTTTTACTTTCAAGTGATCTTCTACGACATATTAGTTCCGATCTGGTAACAATTTCTATAATTTTTCTGGTAATACTATATATATTCCTATTACTTTCAGAATATGTTTTCGTTACTCTATTACATTTGAAATTATCCTCATTTTTTAAAATTAATATGTGCCTCGAAATTCCTTTCACAATATATTCATAAGCAAACAAAAGATGTTGGAACAATAGATGTATATAATTAAAATAATAAAGTTATCTATTTTATCTTGTTAAACCCAGCAGCATATACTATTAACACAGTGGTGTAACTGAGTACATTTGAGCCCCCTGCAAAGTCAGGATTTGGGCTCCCAAGTTGGATTTTAAAGGGTGTTTTTTTGAGAGGTATAGAACTTTAAATTGCAATAAAACAACGATGTATTATTCGATTGGCATGAATTTTTTTTATTCGAAAGATAATCTTGTGGCATTACATTTTAAATATGATTTCTGGCATAGGAATGCCACTTGCTGGCTCGGATGTAGTCCAATCTGGACGTCCAATTTTCGATGACTTTTTCCAACATTTGTGGCCGTATATCGGCAATAACACGGCGAATGTTGTCTTCCAAATGGTCAAGCGTTTGTGGCTTATCCGCATAGACCAATGACTTTACATAGCCCCACAAAAAATAGTCTAGCGGTGTTAAATCACAAGATCTTGGAGGCCAATTCACAGGTCCAAAACGTGAAATTAGGCGGTCACCAAACGTGTCTTTCAATAAATCCATTGTGACACGAGCTGTGTGACATGTTGCGCCGCCTTGCTGGAACCACAGCTCCTGGACATCATGATTGTTCAATTCAGGAATGAAAAGTTAGTAATCAGGGCTCTATACCGATCACCATTGACTGTAACGTTGTGGCCTTCATCGTTTTTGAAGAAGGATTCCACCAGCTCATAAAGCGCACCAAACAGTCAGTTTTTCTGGATGTAACGGTGTTTCGACATACACTTCTGGATTAGCTTCACTCCAAATGTGGCAGTTTTGTTTGTTGACGTAGCCATTCAACCAGAAGTGCGCTTCATCGCTAAACAAAATTCGCTTATGAAAATCGACAATTATTTTCGAAATAAGATTGCACAATTTGAAAGCGTTGTTCAGGCGTGAGTCTATTCATGATGAATTGCCAAACCAAACTGATAATAAATCACTTGACAGATGTTAAATCGGTCGCCATCTTGGAAAGTAATGCCAACTTAAACTTCTATACCTGAAAAAAAAACACTCTGTACAAAGGGTAGGTGCTTGGCGGCGATCATGCTTTGGGGCCCCCTAGAAACCTTCCCCCCCGCATTATGGTGGTTGCGGGGGTGTACATTGCGCCACTGTATAAGCATATTTTTTAAGAAACCTGTCACTTCAATGTTCCGTTATTTTCTTGTAATTCAATCCGCATATTCTTTTCTGACAAAGAAATGTTTTACGACCATATCGCATACTCTCTTGTTATAACTTTTTTACAAGTTATAAAATCCTGATTTATAATTTGTAAAAAATAAAAAAAAATTGTAAAATTTTGTAGTTCCTGACTGTGATTATGGTAATTTTAAAGTGTATCTCAACAGATTTAGCTTGTGCCCTTCCAAACTTTTTGACTGCAACGTTGGTGGTAAGCTTATCGTTTGTTCAAAATTTAAGAAAAAAAGAAAATGCTTGTGGGTCAAGCTTCATGCTATTGAAATCAACTGGCCTCTAAACTTTTTTCAGCTTGTTTCAAGTAAAGCTTCGTTCACATTATTTAATAACTTGTTGATTTGATTATATAAATTTTTCATTACTCTGTTTTTATAACATCAGTGCATTGGTAATGTTACGTAATCGTTTCTGTAGTAACTTATTTGTTATTGTTATTTCATTATTTCGTTACTTTTATATTATTATTTATTTTTTATTTCTTTATCTCGTTCTGTTTTGTTTTTTTACATACTTCTGTAAACCCGTGGGATACTTGTGGTGCACGAGAATTATTTTATCTGTATTAAATATTTTAAAAAATGTTCCTTTATTTTATTTTATTTTGTTACTTTTCTGTAATTTATTAGTATTTTGTACTTCATATGAGACAATCTCCAAAAAATAAAACTATTCACAAAAAAAAATCTAGATCAAAATTTTCGGGTACATTTGATCAAGTGACTCATTCTTTTGAGTGATCAAGTGACTCATTCTTTTGAGCGCCAAAGACTCATTTTTACAACACATTTCCTTTTTCCATGCACATCATCTTAAAAAATAAAATAAACAGCCCTATTTAGTTTCCAAAAGTGGTGCTAAACACATCAAAATTGAAACAACTAAACAACCCATCCGAAACCAGAAGCTAGATCTCAGAAATACATCGGTGCTAAGAACTCTCAAACGGAAATTCGGCATGGACCTACGTAACCCAGCTAAACCCAACGGTGACTTTCACACAGTCAATCCACCTTCTCACTTTTGTCCCAATTTCTACAAGAAATAAAAAAAAATGTTTCTGGGAACTGGATACAAGGTAACCCAACTCGCTGTCAATTTTCCAATGCCCTTCAGAATTACTACAAATGATTACATAAACTTCGAAAGCTATCTTGTCAGCAATAAGTTTTAGAGCCCTCGATAAATCATTTTAATGGCTTTCTTGATTGGAGTGCCATTACAATGATTTATTGTGCAGTAATGATTTATAGCCATTATGATGTTCATCTTATTGTTGTCGGCGTAATTGGTCTAATCATTATAATGGCTAAAATAGTTCTTGCACGAGGAACGAAATACCGGGACGGTATCGAAGAATCGCATTTAGCACTTCCACATGCGTAATGGAAATTTTTAGTTTTCTCTGCCTGGATCCTTCATCTGGATGTTCGAAGATGAATGTTTTACCGATACCTGATAGATAAAATGGGGAAGGTAAGGAAAGAAAAAAAATTAAATAAGGCTAATGCCTTGCGTGGAATGATAACGATAATTCACCATTTATGTTCGTCCAAAATGAGCTGTAAGCGTAATAGAACGAAATGTTAATAAGTAACGATTCTTAACCTTTTGACCTTTGCGGAGTTGTTGAAAATCGAGGGCCTGTTCACTATTCAATAATCTGAGTTTAAGGTTAACAGAAGCAACTGTAAAAGAGAATAGATTCTGGATGCGTTAAGGCTCCTGTCTACCAAGTAGCATATACATACCTCCCTTTTTTTAGGAGGGGGAGTTACATTATAAGAAAACACGGTGACGAAAGCACCGAGACACTATCTCTAAAAAAAATTAAAATTCTGTTAGTCTACGGCAGTGGTCTTCAAACATTTTCAATTCATGGAACCCCTAGAACTAGTTGGTGTTTTCCTGGAACCCCTATAGCTGGAAAGTATTTTCGTCGAACCCACACACACTGAGAAGAATGTATCTTAAAATAATATTTAAAGTAGATCAACAATAGCTCAATATAAAGGCAATTAAAAAAGAGTATTGTATTTATTATTAAAAATTTAATATGATTTACTCATTAATTATATTAATTTGTCATCCAAATGTCTCCTAACTATGCATTATATTTAGTAACTGATATATGTGCTTGCATTTTTTCACACAAACTGTCGAAGTCTAGGTCTATTGAAATGAAATGCAATCGCATCACATTTCCTGAGTTTCCTTTGTTTCTTTCACGTTGAGAAATATTTTTCACGTATACACATTGTTCTGAATGTCATAAAAATGTTTATAGCTATGTGAGAAATGAATTTGCATGAATTTCCAACAAAAAATTTATTATCTGTTTTTACTAAATTTTAATATCGAATCTGTTGATATGTGTTGTAGTAGGTGTTTTTCCTCAAATATAAAAAGGTGTATTTTCCATTAGAAAACTATTTAGTTTTTCAAGACATATTGTACAAACGAATTTAAAATTATCTCGTGAAACTCAAGATAATGAGAAATAAAATGTGAATATTTTATATAGTAAATAATCTATATATATATATACATAAAGATAAAAACGCGCGTTTTAATATTCTTTTTCAATTCCTACTATTAACTCTCACTCTCTATATATTTATTTATCTGGATGGAATTTTCAATCGTTAATAAAGACATTTTAAAGCGCTCAATTCAGCTGAAATTTTATATACATGATTATTTTGGATGACAATAGAGTAATTTAATTATAATTAATAAAAATTAATTTATTAAAGCTAATTATTCAAAGAATTACAAATGCAGCCACGTTGTCATCATTTTTGGCGAATTGTGTCAAAACTTGAAAAGGTTTTTTTCTCACATTTAAAGCACTCATTTGAGCTGAAATTTTCTATACATTATTGTTTTGGG